CTAGCGGCATTATGTATTTACCATTAACGGACCAAACGTTGAAGAAGTGACCAACGCGCCACGGTGTTCAGAGCTGGAACTTGCCGATAACAATAGCCAGTCCACCTGCGCGCCTCATCAGCAGGTGATCACGCGCGCAGGTGGACTCACTGATCATTTGAACACAAAGCGATCATGGAGTGGTGATGATGTTGCTGCTGCTGCGCCAGTGCTGGGCTCCCTCCAGACCGGTTCTCCTGGGCGACTGCGTCTGGATGCGTGCGCCCGACTTCCAGAGAAAGCGCTGATGATGAAGCCACTCCCAGAGCTTTCGAGTTTCCCAGTGGAACTCGATGTCAGTCTATGAGTCTGTATTCGAGCGTGTGGGTCTCTGTGTGAGTCTGTAAGCCTCTGTACGTATTGTATATCTCTGTGTGAGTCTATGGCCTCTTCGTGAGTCCCTGGGACTGTGAGAAGCAACTCTCAGCGCATCCCAGTCTCGGAATGAATCCACCTGCATTGGTACGGGCTCAAGAGTAGCTGTGCTAAACGGGAACTTGGTAGCCCCTTCCAAAACATCACTATCATGTATATTAGCTATCACACAATGACAAAAATTTGTAAGTAATAAATATAATAATTCGCAGACCTTTGTCAATCCACTGCTAGATGAGTACCTCCCCCACTTCGTTGTTGGCCACCGGGGGTTGCTTGGGCATCCTGTACCAGGCTTCGATATCACTCGCCCACTGATGTTAGACTGTAGCCGGGAATCGAACTCAGTTGTCCGATTTGATAGTACAGGGCGCTCGCCTCTGCGCCACCGCCCAACCCCCAGGTATTGCATTTTTTAGCCGAATGTTGACATACGGTGCTAGTACTACAATGGAAGGCTCAGTAATGCAATGGATGTTGTCCTTTCCCACACAGAGCAAAGAGACGTCGCCTGCAGGTGTGGCAAAGGTAATTGCTAAGACCTCACCGCAGTGTGCCACGTAACACTTTGATGCGTTGTTTTGTACAGCGCATTGTGGTGCTGGACCACACCTCGTTGCGGTGAGAGTTGCAAAGTTGCAAAAAAAGGAAGGAAAAAAAGAGCTGATGTTGTCGAGTGGCGCAAGGCGCGCCAACACCAATGACGTGTCTATCGAGTGTGCAGGCGGTGCAACTGCACCATGGGCCGGAGAAGCCCAGACGTCATGCTACGAAGAGGTTGGAGGGCGGGGGATGGGGGGCCCCCATTTAATTCCTGACACCAGGGCACATGCTGACCATGCTACGTGCTATACGTCAACGGCTGATGGTGTGTCGGAGACGTTCTGGCCATGGGTTTGAGGCCAGGTTTCAGGCGGCTCTGATTAAACTGGGTTTTTAAATGTGGCGATCGTGTGATATCTGCCGGGTAACCAAATACTTAGAATTATGTCGCCAATGTCGATGGAATTGAAAGGCGTTCCTTTGAACGCAACGTAGTTGGAATCAGTGAGATGAGCAGGAAAGGGAAGAGCTCCATACATCTGGGAAATTCAGTGTGTCGATTTATCCATGCGCTTGGATTATTTTGCTCCTATAAATTTCCACGTAAGCCACTTCGTTGAGCTATCATTTATGGCCAGGTCGCTTCTGAAATAGAAGCTAATAGCTCAGTGTGCTTTACCTGGTAAGAAAAAAGTATATTTTTGAAATGATTATTTGCTTAGCTTTCCGACGTTGCACTCTTATCGTGTGCCGTACTGTTTGTAGTTGTAACATTCTCACTTGCCCCTACTGGACATCTGTAAAAAAAGAGCTTAAAAGCTCATCGGATTCCTCCAGTCTAAATAAATATCCCGATGTTGATCTAAACCGCGGCTCGATTGACACGCGGTGAACGCTTCTAGCTGGGAATGTGCAAGGCGTGCCCCTGCTGTGGAGGGAGACGCCTGATGAAGTGACGCCGAAGCAGTTTCTCCCTCTCGCGAGCGATGTCTGAATCGGTTTCGGGCACCGTCGTCACCAACCCGCACTGACCAACGTGGCGAAGTACGGTCAAGCATGACAAGATAAGGCACGAGGAGGCCTTCTTCACACGGCAGATTAGCAAAGCTCTTTGAATTATTGATATCTACATGTGTTTTTTTTTATTATAGTAACACGCATGCTACATTGAACACGCTACGCACACGTGTGGGCAGACACTCGCACGAATTCGTGCTCACGTGCATTCCGCACACACATTCTACATATACGTACGCGCGCATGTATTGCATAAATAATGTACACACATGCGGACATGTAAAGAAAAATACCAATATCTCCCGGATAGCATTTAACAGACTGTTGGGGCAAGTGCTGTTAGCGAGCACCTGTCGAAGGCCGGCACGGCCGCGTTTGTCTCGAAAGTGCTGATGTTTATACACCACACCAGGTTCTCATTTAAAATCTGATTCGACCGGTCCAAATATTCGCCACTGTAATTGGTCGTGAGCGGGAATTGTGCTATTGAACTCGGATCGCCGGGTTCGTTGTGCAAGTGCGTAAACCACTCCACTATACTGCTCACCCACAAATGACACACAAGTACACGCATTGTACACGTCAAGAAGAATAAGACAAATAACAATAGAAATATTTAATTAAAAAGCCCCAATCACCGCAGGCGATTCGTGATGCGAGCGGCCATGGAGCATGAACCAGTTAGGAAGCTCCACGTGGGCTCACCAGTTAGCGATCTCCTGTCCCCGAGGGCTCGTGAGAACCGGTTTCAGAAGCTGCCTCTTCCAATCGCAGAGCGACGAGTCTCCTTAGCGCTCCGTGACGAGCGCGCGGTCTGACGGCCGCGCTCGCATTCCCTGTTTGCGATTTCGCACTCACGTCGTCAGTCAAACAGCTTCACATCAAAGCCGATGGCCAAATGACCCCAGAACACGTCCGATCTCATCAGATTTCGCAAACTATGCAGGGGTTGAGTCTGGACAGTGGCTTCTCAAGCGTATTTTTGCGTGTAGAAGAATTGAGTTGGTGGTATCAGGACGGTCATCAATTACTGCACACCATTGCTCTCTTTTAGATTTGAAGCTTTTGTGACTGCAAGGATTCATACTCTTAGGTTTTTTCGGTAAAGTCACGTAGGTAAAAAAGTAAAATTCAAATGATTTTACTTTCATTATTTTTTTTACCTACGTGACTTTACCGAAAAAACCTAAGAGTATTGCTCTCTTTATCATGGTTGGGTTGCGAAGGAGATGCCCTCACTATGTGGTTGACCAGATGTCACTTGAGGTGGGGCCTCAGAGGCCGCTCCGTGATATCCGCTCACGCGGGCGGATCTTTAACACTGCTCTGCGAGAGTTCTGAATGCGGTTTCATCCAATAACGTGACACGGATATTACAATCGGGATACAGTTGTGGAAAAGGACAACATCAGAGCGGTAATTGAAGTCAGGGTGACCGTGTGCGTCACGAATTGACTAAGCTGGAACAACACAATTGTGTGTTGTGGTCAAATTCTTTGAGAACAAACTACGATTTTCTTATGAATCTAAAACCATTGTGGTTTTCACGGTGATGAGAGAGAGTACAAGCGCTGTTTGCTTGTTTTTCTAGCCACGGAAAGCAACCCGTCCAGGAGAAGACAAAATCACCTGCAGTGAGCCCACCGCCAGCCGTCCTGGGTTCATTCCATGTCGATGGACTCTGGTGAGCGAGCCAAGAGAGTGTGTGGTGAGGACTCTGCGCAAGTCCCCAACCCCTTGAATCAATCCCTTGCACGTAATTTGGTGTGTGTTATATCTCCACCACCTTTATAAAATGGCGAAGGAGTACCGACTCCCAATGCAAGAACGGTCATCATCCTTGGTCACGGACTGCATGATGATGATGGTTTTCACGCGTGGACCTTACTTTATTGGTTACATTATATATAATAAATTCAACTCCTTTATTTATAACGCGCACAGTATGCACTATTAAAGAGATACGTGAAACCACATATAAGAAAGCAGGCAGCCACGCGGTGAGCTGGCACCAGCAATTGCCCACGCTCTGAAGTGCTCTATATATCAAGGTGTTCTCGGCCAATTAATGAATATTTACATGCGGGAGAAAACCGGAGCACTCGGAAAAAAACACACGCGTGCGAGAGAGGAAAACACTCGATCTCACATAAACGGAACAGGTCGGAGTCCACATTTAGCTGTACTGCCTCCTCCAGTGTATGGCACCTTCGCGACGCCTATGGGAAGGGGGAGTTTCACGTAATATTGTGTGATCCACCAGCCCTCGCCTCCACGGTGCTGGATTACAAGGGTGTGCCACCACCGCCCGTGGTGGTGGTGATGATGGGGCACATGATCTCTCTGTCTCTGTTGTACAGTCATTGCTATTGTTGAGTTTAAATGCAATGCGAGTTTCACTTCTAACACGCATCGCTGATTCAATCACAATCGAAAATAGTGGCGCAGCGTGGTTGGCACGGGACCTGGTGCCAGCAATGAAATGGGACCCCCCCTGTTTGCCTTCCTCCCTCCCTCTTCATCGCCCAGCCCGTGTACCCCGGTGCCGCTGCTTCTACATTAAATTATGCACTGCACGTTAATGGCCGTGATGATGATGATGACGAATGTAGGATGAATGTTAAATTATTATCCTGAACATGATCATATGGATGGAGATAGTGATAGCGTTGGTGTTGGCGATGATGGTGATCGTGACGATCGATCAGGGATGATCATGAAGATGGGTAGATGAATTGATGTAGATTGTAATGAGCGTGGTGGTAGTGGTGCTGGTGATGATGGCGATCGTGAGCATAATCATGATGGGTGGGTGGATGACTGGTAGTAGTGATGACGACGACTATACACGTTGGTCGACTGTCGCTGAGAACATCCCCCACGGGCTCTCACGCTCTCAACGCTGCGCGGTTTGCCAGCAACATTTCGCCAAAACACCTTGGGGTTATGGGCGGCAACACTCACGCACAAATAAGGGTGCGACAGCCGGGCGTGCCCGAGCCAAGACGTCCTTAAAAGCGGGGCCACGGTGTGAGCACTGCACATCTCCGGATCCCAACAACACCGTCTGCCTCTGGCGAGACCTCGTCCATCCTCCGTCGTGATGAAGCTCTCGGTTCTCATCATCGTCTGCGTCTGCGTGGCCGCCGTCGTGGCCAACAAGGACGCGACAACTCAGTCACGCAGGAAGCCCAAGAAGATGCCCCAGACCCTGTCCAGAGGTAAATGGGGAGGAGGGGGGAGGGTGGTCGGGGTTCGGGATAAACACCTGACGGACGGGCAGACGGGGGCCACATGACGCAGTTACGGATACTTGTACAGCCGTTTTGTCAATCCACTGCTGGATGAAGGCCACGCCACGTGGGGCGTGTTGTTTGTTTGACTGTACTTCACCATTAACGTGGACACGTATAAGTCCGAAACGGCGATGGGTTTATTGCACTGCCCTCGACTGCACACTACGTACTCTCGCAGGTTATGAAGTGTGCTATGTATGGCAAGTCGCATATCTAGGGACTTGCCAGTCTCAACCTGCTTAGCTTCTGAGACATGACGACACGAGGCGCGTTGCGGGAGAGTTGATTCCTACGCGCGTCGCTCGCGGGCGTTGTAACGATTACAAAATCTCGTGAGATTCAATGCATTATCGCGAAAGAGTGCCCCATTTATAATATTCCCTGCGTTGTTTCGCCTCGCCTTTATTGCTTCTCGCGTTGTTCTTGGTCTCGTTCGCCCCAGCTCGCGTGTGTTCTTGCTTGTTCCCCAAGCAAGCTGTGACTTTTAATTGATCGCGAGTTTTATTATGCAAAGTACCACTGTGAACATCATCTACTGGCAGTGGCGTATAGCGTGGCCGACGTGAGCCCTGGTACACGGAATGAAATGCCCCTCCTTCCCATGTGCCCCGGTGCAGTTGCACCGCCTGCACACTGTATAGCTACACCAATGACTGCTGCAATTCGTTTTACTGTTGATGATGGTCGTGATGATGCCAATCGAAATTCTATTGCCTAAATGATTATGCACCACCACCACCTCTATTACCACCATTGCCAGCATCACGGTGATCACTATGATCACTATTTCATCACCATAATAACCATCATTATGATTACCACCATCATAACCATTACGACCACCACCAACAACCATAGCCGTCATCATCATCAACATCATCATCCTTACGATCTCCTCGTGTTGCTATTTCAAAGCGCACACGAATGTAAGCAGTCCATCTCACGCGTGTCCCACACAAAACCAATCCACGTCCGCTTGGGTCGTTCCTCCGTATGCAACCCTCCCTTGACTGCCATCCCATTTACTGGCTTTGCTCTTCAGATGTCACACATATGCAGCGACGTGATCTGAATGTCATGAAATCCCACGTATACTTAATCATGATTTCATTATTAAAGGAGTAAGCCCCGAATTTTAATCGTTTATTGTTACACGAGACTTTTCCCTGACCGTGAATTTGCGGCTGCATGGGCGTGCCGGGTACGAATCAATAGAGAATAATTAAGTCCTGGCGCGGCACACATCGATTACATTTTAATTACCAACTCACCCTGACCCTTCAGGGTGAATACATTGCGTCACATGAGGCATCTTTCCAAACCACAGTGAAAGTGCCTCAATTATATCATGCCACATCTATTATCCATTACTTTTTGACTCATACGACGGAGTGACCATCAGCACTGCCATCTTCTGGCCACACCTCGCAACATTCCTCCTTCGACACATGGCAAGTCCTTGCAAGTGGTTCACCCTTGCACGTAATTACCATGTTTATTGGGTCTCTATGTAAGTCTATCGGTCTCTGTGTGAATCTACAGGTCTCTCAATGTGCGTCTATCGGGCTCTTTGTGAGTGTATGGGTCACTATGCGAGTCTGTGTGAGTCTCGAGGTCTCGAGGTGAGAAAGCGCTGGTAATGAAACCACTGCCGAGTGCATTCCAGTGACTCGACGAATCTACCTGCACGCGTTATCACCCGAGAATGGAAGACACGGGGTGGAGTTTGTACCCTCAACGCGGAGCCTGGAGCTGATCTCGCCGTGTTCTCACGCTGTGCTGTGCGCGTGCTGTGTGCAGGCTGGGCGGATGAGGCGGAATGGGTGCAGACCTACAGCGAAGGGCTCTACAGAGCCAAGAAAGAGTAAGAAGCAATGGGTCACACAGCACTGAGATCCTGCACCCCTTCCACCCACATACACACACATACACTTTGATGTATTCAGAGACAAATATGTCCGCATATCCGCATAGACTTTTCGGACAAGTGCTGTTAGCGTGCACCTATTACTAAAGCTAGCATTGTGCACCTGGGAGTGGTGTGACCCATCATCTCTCTCATCAGTCCTGCTGTTTACACATCGCACCAGGTACTAATTTAAAGCTGAGTCAACCGAGAGTGGGTCCGGCACGACTTCAGATAATCCCCGTTGCCGGGCTCGAACTCAGCTGACTGGGTTGCATTGCGCCACCGCTTCCCAAAACCGCATATACACACAAGACTAAGGGTCTCGTTTATAGCCTACATAGGCTGTTGGGACACGTGCTGTAAGCGAGCACCTATTAAGTGTGCCACAGGCACAAGTCCGTGTAAAAAGGGAAATACCGGGCCGCCTCTGTCTCCCCATTGCTGGTGGTGTGTGTCATTGTGTGTGTGCGGTAGCGGAGACAGTGTGTCTATAACGCGTGTGTTTGTACAGGGGGAAGCCACTGATGGTCATTCACCACCTGGAAGAGTGTCCCTACAGCCAAGGTGAGGAGGCGAGGCACAACCCTCCACGTGTTCTCCATCTTTCCGGCAATCTCACAAACACAACAGAGGCTTGAGAATTAAGTTCATAATAGTATGATGCTTATTTACCCATGAAATCCTCACCGAGTCTCAATAATTTTTTTTTCAGGAAGACCCTGTCGAGTTTTCGCAGGAGCAAACTATGTTGCTGCTGTGTGTAATCCCAACTAAGTTACTTGCAGGTCATCTTTTTTTCCAGCATTGGGATATTTGGCCAGTACCAGTTGCACTCTATGTGCTTGTTTTGTTTAGCTCTATTGACGTTGGCTTCATTGGCGTAATTAAACCAGCCCTCCATTGCTAAAATAACAAAATAAACCGGCAGGCAAATGTCGTCTTCTTTATATATCTCTAAACAAATACATCAAAAATAGGCCCCACTGCCCTTTGGGAGTGCATCATTTCAGCAGCACTGATTCAAGTACAAGACAAATTTGCGCCGGTTTTGACACAGTTTCTCATCAGGAGAGTCAGGTTTGTCTGAATCAATGGTGGTGAACTGACAGGTGTAACAGGCATGGACACTCTTTAAGCTATGGGTCGTAAGTCGACGCTAAATCATTATATTGCGTCCTAGCTCACATATTCCACAAAGAGTGTAATCTATCTTGCGACAGATGATATATGTATGATATATAGATGACATATGCATTATATATAGGTGATATATGTATTATATATAGATGATATTTGTACTATTTTATGCTTGTCACGAAAGGACTCAAGAAAGCTTTTGCTGAGAATGCTGAGGCTCAAAAGATGGCAGATAAAGATTTCATCATTCTTAACCTCGTGGTACGTAAATATATCTGTACGTATGTGTGCATGTGCACGTGTGTGTATACATGCATGTGCATGTGTGTGTATACATGCATGTGCACGTGTGTGTATACATGCAAATGCACGTGTGTGTATAGAGTACATGCATGTGCACGTGTGTACTCTATGTGTTTGAAGGAGCAGTGGCACAGTGGTAAGCACACTGCATTACGAACGTTGTTCCAATCACATATTGTGATTGAGTTCGATTCTGAGTCACAGTTAACATCAGTGGCGAGTGATGTCAATATAGGTATTTGGATTCATGTCTACCTTTTGGGTCTCATTAACGCATGAAGTATGCATTAACCACACATACTTGTGACAAAACATGCAAACAAACATGCTCTGATAATATATGCAGTCTTTGAAAATTATTGGCCTGCACAAGAGACAGCCTTCTTTATCGCATTGTCTCACCAGTGTTAGACCAGAGAACGCCAAAATGCCTTTTGGCTCAGAGAACGCATAGAAAGGGTAAAGCCTATAATTATTGTTAAACAATAGTATGTAGAAATGCATAGCACACGTTGCGTGGCTGTGGATAGCTGTGTTCCTAATGACGTTTGTTCCCACAATCGTCTTTCAGTTCGAGACCCACGACAAACATCTGGCTCCTGATGGCTACTACGTCCCAAGGATCATGTTCGTGGGTAAGTGGACCACCGTCACAGACATAACGGGAGTGTACACAGAGTTATCAAACACCACGCCATTCCCCATTCACACGCTCGTTTCACTCTTGTTTGAAGACGCGGAGTCTCGTGCTCTCAGCTGTGGGGCGCTGGTGGCGATGTACGCCTGCAATATAGCCATGTGGAGGATCACGAAATCGTGAAAAGTCTCACCCGTGAGCGTTGAGGTCGCCAACTCCTGGCTTGCCAGGGTATATATAAGGCAGTACAGTAAATGGATTATTTTCCATCTGTACGAGGATTGAGTGTTATCCTCCTCACCCCTCCTCATTGCATGCGTGGGTTTTCTGTGAGTAGAGACTGGTTTCTTCACGACCTAAATAGGTGCTCTTTAACAGCATCTGCCCTCAACAGCCTACATCGGATCTTGGGCTATACTGGGGAGGGTTTTTTTTTGTCTTGTAATTATTGTCGTTGCTTATTTTAAAAATTAACTTTACAGATCCTTCCCTGACTGTGAGAGCTGACATCGCCGGAAAGTACTCGGACAAGCTGTACACGTACCAGCCAGAAGACCTGAACTTGCGTGAGTGCCTGGGTTAGGGCTCGTGTTAAGGTTGGGTCAGTGGCATAGCAATGGAGTGTGCTGGTTGGTGCAACTGTGTTAGGCTCCCACAGTTGCATTTCTCACCGAATATATCAGTGGTTACTGGTAGACTGAAATAGACACTTGAATAATTACCATAGCAAAAAGTATATTAGATGTAGTGTGCTGGGGGTGGAAATGTTCTGGGTCACAGACCTGGAGACACATGGCTAATATTAACAAAAAAACTGGACACATTCGTCAATATCACCGAATAGGTTGGCTGAAATTAAGCTGAGCCTGGGTGGGTTTCTACACGCGACAGCTGTTTGTTTATAGAGATGCATCTCCATTCAGCATACATATCCAGACCAGCCTGTTCATACTTGTCACACCGCGCGGCACAACTAACGCCTTTAATTATTGTGTTCGCGGCAGTGGTGGCCAACATGAAGAAGGCAAAGATTTTGCTGCACACGGAGTTTTGAAGACAGCAGCTGTGCACGCATCCATCTACTGCGCACGCATCCATCCACTGTGCCTGCCATGGCATCAGGAAATGGCATCTTCAGAATCGAGCCCCACACTCTTCCAGGAGTTAGGCCGTATACGACCTGCAACATTTTATAGGGCACGTGGCCACACGAGGCCTACCACTTCACACTGCCTAGTAAACTGCGCATTAATCAGAGAAAAACCCATTTTCCAACCGACGACACTGCGTATATAATTGTATCACTTAAGTCAATTCTGACGTGGCCGCGTTGTGTATTAAATGTGTGGATTGACAAAGGTATTTGAAAGTGCTGTTCAACCCTCGGTAAGAAACGGGTTCAACACCCCTGCTCGACTTCCAACATGGCCCTCACGTGGACGCACATTCCCTCGGTTTTATTAGTGATCAAACTGCTGTTGTTTGCTCAGTTCTGCCCATCGCTCGTGAAGCCGTGGACTCCATTCGCTGTATAAGTGCCGCCATAAGCACGTTCATGCCATATTGGTGTTTGCGTTTACACACACAATAAACCTTGTTCAAACGTCGACTCATTTTGGCATTATTCAACAGCCATTGCTATTCGAGCAATACAATGACATCAGTTCGTATTGGTGTATAAAACACGGTGAAGGTTTTCACGGTTGTGCTGGACCGCTCTCCGATGCGTTCTTGAACAATCGTCGGATATAATGTCGAACAAGCCGTGTAACCCAAAACCACATCGGATAACTTAAAATGTGAACCGGGTGAAAGCTCTAACCACTTGGTGTCTCATGGCAGATCCACTCACTTTCTCCACCAGAGAAATTCAGTCTGACATGTGATTTCATTAAAATGCAGAAAGCTTTGGAGCACAGGGACATCATTTGTTTACTGATGCCAGGAATGGGGAGGCGTGTTCTGAATTAAAGACCCAAGCAATGTCTGCATTCAGGCTTTATTTACAATTCCATTATTAGCAGCATTTTAATAACCTCGCTTTCTTTCAAAAATTTGGTCGTTAAGCTTTGCGTGCACCAATAGTCAAAATGTGACATGACCATGGCACTTGCATGAATGAAAACATCAATTGACAAAACGATGCAATGCATGCATCGTGGGCCTTCATATGAACGAATCTCGCTAACACTCCTATTAATGAACATCACGGGTTTTGCAGTCCCATTCACTCGGAGGGAAGCTTCGCGTCCGTGGCAAGCAAACCGGTTCGAGGCTTGCGCATTCTTCCTCATTGCGGACCCAACCGGGACTCCACTCCTGCACTGCACAGATGTCGCGGACGTCGTGGGCGGTGCGGGGTACTACGATCGCGGTGACACAGTCTCCCTCCTGGCTCCAGCCCCTCGCCGTCCCCCTTTGTCTTTCCAATACAATAACTGATTGCTTTTCAGCCCCCCAGCTTCGTCTCCCCCCAGCTACGACCAGGTCTATCCCAACCCCTCACCAGTTCCTCTTGTTTTACTGCATCATCACCACCACTTGCAATAACCCAATTCTTCATTTAAAATTACAATGCTATGTACAATTGTATAATTCCTGTCAAGCACCTTGTTATATTTATATCGCGGCCTTGGTAAAGGCACTATATGCTGTTACGGGCGTTCATCACGAAATTCTCTGCAACCAGCGCGCATTTATACAGTATTGACGTGGCTGCAATGCGTACCAGTCAAATATAATCAAGTTCCAGACCATGCCGAATACGTGGGGAGGAAGATCTCAAACGAACCCGACCTCAATCTGCATTCACCAACCAAAATTGACCAGGGTGGTGGGTGCAGTATCATTAAATAATCCCCAAGGCCGATCGGGGAACAGCAGTCAATTGACACAGCACTGAAAATACATTTGGGAGATTTGTAGTGAACACGTTCATAATCTAGATACGAGACTTCTCATGCATGGTTTAGCCAACCACTGGCTCAACCAGATACACAGATAACAAAAACCACAGGCCACATACAGTACTGTATAACTGCCAGTCCTATACAGGGTCTATGTGAGAAGCCGACACAGCTAACAAGTTCAGGACATTTCTTTGATCCAAGTCTAAAGTTGTGCACTGTGCACTTTCAGGAGATTAATATTTCCCTTAAATCGGCTTTACTCGACAGTAGTTCTTTAATATCAAGAAGTTACAAGATCATACGCCATCTTCATAGCAAGTTGTAATTTGATGCCCTCACATCATGAGATGTAACACCAGTAAACACCATTATGATTGCTTGCCCGAATTACCTAACTTTAGTTTTCAACTTCTCCAGTCTAAAAGTTGCAATAGATTTGTAGTGTCATGGCGGATGTCACTATGGTGCTGGCTCAGAAGGGTTGTGCCGTTCGATGTTCCGACATCGTGGACAGCACCGTGTGGGTGGCTGTGTGTAATATCAGTCCTAGCGGGGCTTGGCGAGCACTGGGATAGTGCGGGCACCACGCACAGCGTGTGGTGGGGGCTCCCCCGAGGGGGAGGGGGTATCAGTCCAGGGCAGAGGTAGCAACCGGGTACCCGATACCCGTACCCTACCCGATACCCGGCCAGGTACGGGTAGCCGTTTGCGACCCTGGTGCGGCCGGGTACGGGTAGGCCGTGAGTCACTGGTGAGTAACCGTTTGTCACTCATTTCGGGTAGGGTACGGGTAGGGAATGGGTAAGGAATCTAAACCCGTTTGCGACCTCTGGTCCAGGGGCAGGGTTGCCCCGGGCCGTGGCACACTGTTTGACCCCGTAGACACGTGATCCGGAGTGTCCACACAGGGGGCCCCAGGTGGGGGGGCTAGTGGGTGATCACGTGTCCAGGGAGAGCTCTTGAGAAGGATCGAGAACGAGAAGGATCGAGAACGAGAATGCTCGAGGTGGGCGGGGCCGAGGGCGGAGCGGCCCCGACCGTAGGGGGATATAAAGAGAGTCCCTGAGAGGGACCTGCATCTCTTCATTCTACAAGCTGTAAGCCCTGCATCTCAAGCTGAAGCTCTCCATCCTACGAGGCAACCACGTGGTCAGAGACCTGAGTGAGGGATCTATCCTTCGTAGCAGTAACTCGCTGTAGTCTGGTAAAGGGGCAGCTACCCCTTTGTGTTACAAATAAAAGAGTTGCCTCTAAAATGAACGTCTGTGACTCAGTTGGACCCACGACACATTTGTTCGTTCCAATTCCTTCAGAAGTTTACGCCATTGTGCAGTTCATAAATGTAGAGTATAAAGATTTGCATTTCGGTGCTTGCTAAATTGCCTCCGTACCTTGAATACCATCTTATATCAACCATTCCAATGCCCTGCAGCAGTTCAATGAAAGGTACTATACCCCTCCCACCGTGAGTGGTAGCTTGAGGCACAAGGTGTATTGCAGCACCAAGCTACACAACTTGTAAAATAATTATATTTGGCAAGATTCGACAAACAGACCCTAACACAGGATTTTTTTCAGGCATCTTTATTTGCAAACTTTAAAAACACCTGCCTCATTTTGTTAAACATATAAACGGCACTACAGTACATTTTGAACAGGTGTGCAACTCGTTTCCCGTGCTCAGCTGTGGATAGATGTTAGCTCGAGACGTAGGTGGGAAGCTGTGTCGTGTGTGCGGGGCCGAGAGGTGACTGCAAGCGCGAGCTAGCGACACGCTGCGCTTTGCGGCTCATGGGGAGGGTTGGGGGGGGTTGCGAGTGTCACCACTCTGTTTTGTCGTGCCCTCACCCCACACCCACTTCGCTTTCATTTTGCACCCCGCTACAACCTGATGCGAGTGCACAGCAATGAAAACCGGTCACCAGTGGGGCGGCGCACGTTCGTACACGCAGACACAGGCGCAGAGGACACGCAAACATTAAGACAAACATGCGCACAAAACATCCATACGGCATGAGCAGTTAGGCTGGCAAGCCATAGCCTTTTGACATCAGTCCTCCTCCTCCCCAGAGTCAGATTCTGGGAATAAAAAAAGATACAAAAATGTGCGGCAAGATTACACACAGTAAACACAAATCCAAAGGCAAGGGGGAGAAAATGTTTGCGATAGAATTCAGCATATGCACTGTGGAGATGATCGATTGCATAAACAGGACACTTTCATAAGAAGCGGCAAAGGTAAGCGTAGTAACATGGCTTGGGATGTGGGTTTGATGTAGCCGTCTCATGCACATGCGGTACAACTGTTACGGGGCCCGCAGATCAGAGGGACACAGGGGGCTAGGTCACAATAGGGAAATGAACAGGGGTCCCCCCCCCCTTTCATTTCTTACAGCAGGGCCCAATGATAACCATGATATATCACTGTCGATTCGGTTGCATGAGTCTCGGCACGTCCGACACGCTAATTTGTTGTGACATTCGTAGAAACCCACATTGTATTTTGCCATGTAGTAAAATAATAACGTTTGCCTGTTTGTGTTGAAGTGAAGTCCATTTATTTGTGTTGATTTACATCTTTGGTAGCTTTTGGCTTATTTTTTCATTTTTATCGTCACAACGAATTTCAGACTCCTACTACAGAATAATCCGCAATGCATCCAATCTCATCAGATCTCGGAAGTTACACAGAGTTGAGGCTGCATAACTCTTGGATGGGTGTCCACCATGCACAACAGGTATTACAGGCTGTCGGGGATACACATCTGGCAGCAGACAGCAAAATTAATTGTTCAATTGTAATCTACGTTACGTCTATGCTCTGTCTTCAACCTCCGTGGCTTAGGGAGGCCCTCAACCAGCAGCAAATTGACCAAGGGCTGTACAGGTGCAGAATTTGTTCAATTAACTTTTTGTCTTGATGCTTGTACAGGTTTCTCTCACTTTAAGTGGGTTCGGTTTTGCAATTTCATGTATATTGGGGATAAACAATTTCTATCCAAAATTCGCAATGTGGGGTTTTAATTCCTCCGTATGCAGCTATGTGGTCGGATGTGGGACATTCTCCTGTATCCGCTACTCGGCAGGCAGCCGTCTTGTGCACATTTGTTTTGTGTGCCGTTTTTTTGGGACGAATCTACCGTATAAAGCGAGGGAAACCTGTTTTTTTCTATATTCCCACCCATGTTTACCATTAACAACAAATATGTACCCTCGGGAGGCTTTAATTCCTGGTTAAATAAAGACTTGTTTTTATTTTCTCCTGCCTCACCTTCCTCGGCATGCTGCAGCCACTCCACGAACTTCTTCATCTGGTCCAGGAAGACACTCTTCCCCTTGGCCAGATGTGCATCCCGATACCACTTGAGCACAGCATCCTCACTCAGCACGTCCGCTGCGGTAGAGGAGGGTCGTGGCAGTAGTGAGTTAAAGCATCGGCGGCAAAGAAAGACCACGTAGTACAATGGACGATAAAAAAAAAATGAGTTAGGAAAATGATGCAGATCCCATTTGTTACCAAAGAACATTCATTTTCAACCTGTCCCTCATATCATAAAGGTATAAATTACAATGTAATGAGTCGTGAAAAAGGAAACTGTGAAAGCATTTAAATTAAGCCCTGTTCATTCAAATCATATTAAAAGCATGTCAAAAGATATGGGCAGCAGAGAAGTGGGTAGCAGAGAGTAGTACATTCATTGTTGCATTTTACTATGCGCCTGTATCTATGCGCCACGGCTTCACCAACCCCCAATGAGCAGCATGGTGAAGTATGATCAAAACTCCCACGAAGCACTTGACATGGGGGTTCCACCTGAAGACGGAAGCTTGTGTTGCCTCCGAAACGTCGTGATTTTTATTTTATTAATTTTAATTTACTTTTTTATTTTTTACCTACGTGACTTTACCGAAAAAACCTAAGAGTATGGGGGTGCCCCTCATCTAGCAGTGGATTGCCAAAAGGGCTGTACATGTGCATGTGTGGCAGCAACCGTCATCGCCATTCACATTTGTAAAAAAGGATGACGATCTTCTGGAAAGTCTTCATGAAGTGGATGTTGTCGTAGCAGTACTCTTGCACCTTCAGGAGCAGAGTGATCTCGGACTGGCCCTGGCTGGTGAAGGCTGCAAACAGCGGTGTGAATTGCTGCAAGCGGGACCAGAAAAAAATACAAAAGCATGGGTCCGAGAGCGAAGGACTCAGCGTTGTGGGTCCGAGACCCGAGAGTATTATCCAACAAAGGAATTACCTGGCTTCTTATCTGGATGACAGGAGACTGCACTTAAGACCATGAGAACAACAACGCATGAGAGGTGCACCCATCTCCTCCACAGATGCTGAATTAAGGAGTCTCCCATACTTGTGACTGCAGCAAAGAGAAATCCATTTTCACTTAACATGTCTGGGTGGTAGTACCTTGTCGTTTGTTGCAGAGGTTCGCGGTGAGAACCCAGTAGCCAATCTGGTTAATATATACTACAGGTGAATTAACCATACATACGTGCCATCTGCTCGACAGTGGATGAAACAAACCACATCACGTTATTTAAAAAGCATTAGCTCGACATGTGTAGGCATCATGGTCAGAATTATAAAATTATTTACAAATATTTGATAGGTTTAAACCACAAAGCAACATTGCCCCCCCTACTGGCAGTCTATACTTGTCTGTGAAACATAGCGCCTTCGTGAGATCCTTGCAGTTTAATAATGGCGCAAATACTGAATGCACCAAATTATTATTGTTACTATTATGGTACTATGAGGATGCGGTTCTACCTTCAGGTGTTTCACAGCCTGCTCAGCCACCAGCTCCTCCTTCTTGTTCCACTCCACAGAGTTCATCACGCACGTCCACACCAGGCTGATGGCCGTTTGCTCCGGGATATCATTTTTGCGCATCTCCTCCTTGACGTACAAGGCAATCTGCGGAGATGCGCACGCCAACATCGCACATGAGCACCACCGGAATCATCATCATCACGAGCCATGCAGAACTTCAAGCCATCATCCATCCCTCCTCACCCTCACGCAATGCAACAATGCACTATTCACAGCACGTGCAGACGAACCGATCTCATCCTCGACAAGCAACACCATCATCCGATCAGCGCGGTTGGCTAAGTACGGTGTGAAAGAAGTTTAACATGTATAGATCTTCATTGGATATTTTATATCGTACTTTGCATGTCATTACTTATTAAAACACACGCAACGTGGTTTAACTGTACAAGTGTAGTGACATCGCGGACGTCACTGTGTGGTGCCGGCCCTAGAGAGACACAGCGTGCGATGTAATTACATCGCGGACACCCCGTATGTGGGTGTAGTACCAGCCCAAGAGGGGCTCAGTGAGTGCTGTTAGAGAGCGCTGAGTGGCACCATGCTCAGCGTGCAGTGCTGTCCCCGAAAGGAGGGGGTGTGAAAGTGCCGGCCATGAATGGGGTTAATGTATCTTCTTGGTTCTTTCGGTAAAGTCACGTAGAAGGGAAGTAATAAAATAATAATGTAGGCCATGACACTCTGGTTGACCCAAGAAGGCACGTGACGCGTAAGATCTACACAGGGGCCCCAAGTGGGGGCTAGGGGTGATCACGTGTCAGGGCGAGATCCTGTTAGAGGATTCGAGAAGGTGGTCGTGGCCAAGGGCGGAGCCATCCACAACCAGGGAGCATATAAACCGGGTCCCCAGAGGGACCGGGGTTCAGCATTGCTGTGTTATCCTGAAGATCTACGTTCTATGTCTGAGAAGTCACCAGACTGAACTACATGCAACTTTTTATTTTATTTTACAGGATACAGTGAGGAGTGGCATGAGGGGTTTTAGCCCGGATAAAACAAAACACAAAATATCTCAGTTATATATAACTGAGGCTAAACAGACTTGAATGTGTCATCTGTTGTCATTCCTTCTTAAAGTAATTGGACACTTGTCAAAATGTTTGTGGGCAGGTGGGTACTGCAGAACTGACCCTCACAGAGTGGGGAGTATCGAATGACATTAGCAGCAAATTTGTAAAGTTACTTAATGTATTGTACCTGTGTGTTAAACTTATTTCGCACTGCAAGTAGCCAGCGTGCTAATCGGAGGTGTGGTACCTTGTGTTTATCGAGACTTTATGAAGGTGTTGTACTCTATGGAAGAATTTGCTCCCCAACTATTGCTGCTTCATTTCGGTCTCACCTCCTTAACAGGCTCCCCGAGCTCCAGTTTTTCCTGCAGCTCCTTCTGCAGCTCCTTGCGCGTGCCCAGCGACTGCTGCGCTCGCAGAAAGCCGGCCACCACCTTGAGGTCGTTGGCAGTGAAATACGACGAAAAGTGCTCCACGCTCTGCTTGTTTGGCGGGAAGAGCTCCTGTTTGTGTGAGAGAGATGGGCGAAGCCGGCCAATGTAAGCGCAAAACGAAGGAGATTTATTTTGAAAATGGCATTTGATATCAAATACAAACACGGTTATTTAGAGTAAAGAATACAGCACACTGGAAGCATTTTCCAACAAACGACTTCCATACAACAATGAATGTGCTGCATAGCTATAGAGAACAGACTTACACTGTCTTAATTCTGACAATGTGTATTTAATAAAAAAATATATAACCAAATGAAGAAAAAAAACACATGAAAGGGGAAAGAAAGGGAAACATGAAGTGAAGGAAGAAGTGGCCACGATACCAACTCTGCATAACTGTTAAAGTGAAGGGGTATAAACAATGGAGTTTCACGAGTGAGCACTCGGTAGCCTGTGGGGACACTTACGTTTTAGGGGAATAAACATTTACACACCAGACCAGATTCAGACATATCATGTGGCTCTGCGAGGAGGTGCCCGAAATATTCTCCCACAACCGATTGATCTTTAGTTAAATTCATTTCTTTTGGGGGGTGGGGTGTAGTTTTAATAGGGAAGCTGCTAGAGTAGGGTTGGAGAAATGGTGACAAAAACACAATGCCAAGAGGTTGGCAACCAAATCCTGGGACCAAGTAACAACGCATCAATTAAGGATCAACTAAATTCCTATGCTCAAGATACACCCCACCAATGAAAAAGTTACCAGTTATGTAAATCACATAAAAAAGGTAAACTCAGGCTCAAGGAGAAAATACAACCATAGCAACGAGATAAAGAAAAACAAGAAACAATACAAACAAGAAGATAAAAACAAGACAAAACATAAATTTGTATATCAAGTCATGACTTTAAATTGCGATATTTCAGCAAATCGTCAAGGGCAGCAGTAGAGGGGGGGAAATATCAGCCTGGTATGTGTGCCTGTCCTCAGAGAGACATGTTGAGCCATCACCATTAAAATCACAATTACATTAAACGTACATAAAAAAAAGTTACAAAAGGCAACCATTGCCTTGAGGTTTGGATGGGAGCTACTTGTAATCCTCAGACAATGCACGAGAGCACCCTTTGAGTTACTGACAAAACAATGCAGAGTTTTTTTTAAAACAAAACATAATCATGGTTGTATGATTTACAAATAATTTAAGTACACCCAATCTCCTCAGATCTCAGAAGCTAAGCAAAGTTGAGCCTGAATCATGGTCAATGGGTGACCACCACGCACGACAGGTTGGTATAGGCTGCAGGGCAACGTGGTGGGCAAGCAGAAGGCAGTGCAGAAAACCCCAGTTGTATCTTTACACTCCCCACCTTCACCAACACGCAATGACCAGTATGGGAGGTATAGCCAAATAACCACTGCGACCCTCACCCAGTGGAAGCATGACAAAAAGGCTCTAAATGTAGTGTATATGTGGATGCTGAGTTTAGCAGACACCATACATGCATGAAACAATGTAATATAAGCAACCCTTTTAGACCATGATAGAACTGCACTGCAGAGTGGTTGTGTTCTTTACAATGTGTAGTATTATGTGAGGCGACCCCGAGTCTGCTCAGCCCTTACCAGCAGCCTCTTGTCCATACTGGCTTTCTTGAGTGCAAATGTCACGAAGCTGATGTCCTTCTCCGACAGCCATGCCTTGAAGAGCTTCACAGCAAATGCGGCCGAGAGGCCTGCGAGACACCAAGGCATTGCACACCAAAACTCTGAGACACCAGCCCCGGCTGCCCATTTCCAGATGAGTGACAGGTATTGCCTATGAAAATCATCACTTGGAACAAGCTCAATCTCAATGGATATCAGGAATAAAACACGGTTGTGCCTCGTGTGCTTGAATGGATGACCACAATGCATAAAAACAGGTGTCATAAGTTGCTGTGGGGCTACAATGCAGGCAGTAGAAAAAATCATGTTGCACTATGCACCCGAGTAAATGCTTCCTACCTTAACAAACTCGCAGTGAACAATGTCAATAACCCTCATGCATCACACGGTGTGGAAATGCTCTTATCCAGCAGTAGACTGACAACAGGGATGTATGTGTCCAAATGCATTCAGTATTTTATTTCTAATTACGCAATGAAACCCAAAGGAATAAATATATTGGAGGACGACCACCAGAGAGATGAAGCAATGGCTAATGACCCTTGGATCAAAAACATGACAGGCATGAGTCCTGAGAATGGCAGATTATTTTAACAACAAAATAAAAAAAAAATCATCCCTGTGGAAGTATGAAGAAGAGAATGGGCATGACGACGCTTTGGTTTGCGACGATGACAGACATTCACGTGTGAACGTTTTGAGCGAGCGGTCGTACCTTCCTTGACGATGGTGTCATTGAAGAGGCTGGAGAGTACGGTGGCAGGCAGCATGCTGCTGCCCAGCAAGATGCCTGTAAACATGGCAAGCTTGTTCTGCTCCGACTCAGAGTAGCCTTTCAGGAACATCAGCAGCTGTGCAAGGCAGATCACAAGCATCCGGATTGGTGACGCATGCGGCATTAATATTTCGGCTCAAGGCTGACGCAGTGAGGTTATGTCACCCCTAGCTGTTGTCAATTGGTGGACTTAAGTGTTTGTGTTAGCAGGGTGTGTGAAAACATGTTAGTGGAAATAGCAGCTTGTGCTTTTATGTCCAAAATGTCCTATTGGCGAAGCAGTTCGTGCTAGTAATTAATGATCACAGTATATTTGTGGACATTTGTTTGTTTACCAGAAATAAGTACAGAAGCTTTAGACTTAAAACTTTCATGACTACAGGAAATCATATTCTTGGTTCTTTCGGTAAAGTCACGTAAATAGAAAACAAAAAATCTAAAATAAAAGCAAAAAACCCACGACGTTTCCATCGCAACACAAGCTGTCGTCATCAGGCGGAGAGATGAAGACCGCGTGTGTTGCGATCGAAACGTCGTAGGTTTTTTGCTTTTATTTGCGATTTGTTTTCTCTATACGTGACTTTACCGAAAGAACCAAGAATAAGTATAGAAGCTATTTTGGTCACATTAAATTGGTTTATTCACCTTTTGAAACAAAAGCCAAGTAGCATTTGTTCAATTTACTAAAATATTAAGTGTTGTCATTTGACAATGTAATTAATTCAGTGGGGGGAGAGTGTAGCACAAATTCATTGTGCTACACATACAATGCACACCACTTCAAATTCCTACAACAATGTTTATAAAAGCTGGGTTGGAACATAAAAGGTAAAAAAAAACACATTATTCAAACTCTATATATGTTGAACAAAGTTATGCAAGGTACTGTATAGTTCATTATGTAGAACAGGAAGAGAATACCTTCTTAAACTCTTCCTCCAAATACTTCTCCAAGTATTTGTATCTTCTCACGAGCTTCCCAAAGACCTGCAAAATTGTAAAATAGAAACTATTTATCAACCCATTCTCAGAAGGTATAGTTCCAAGTATGAAGTCGCACACCAATCGCATTATACAATTCAAGCTTACACAAACCGAGCTGAATGATTCTTTGGTTCGATTCCAAGCCACAGCTAACATCGGTGGCAAGATGTATTGGACCCCGGCCTAGACTTTCCCCAGGTCGACTGAGCCATAAATGAGTACCCGGTGTGGTGTGTAAACATTATCCCTGGAAATACAAAGACAGTGAGTGAACCAAGCTCTTTTTCAATGGCGACCCCCTGTGGTGCTGGCTACTTCTGCACTCGCATGTTATTCAGGGTCTTTCACAGGTGCTCACTAAAATCACTTGCCCCAACAGTCTGTTACAGCTATATGGGGAATATTTATGGAACTACTTAAGGCACTCAACACGTTTCCTAGAAGTTGACGTCCCCCAATGTTCTTTAGCATCTTGAGATGTGGTTATATTTTAGACGACGTATCCCTCCAAATTGTTCACATTGACTGCTGAGAAAAGTACCATGGGCTTGGGCAGGGCACGTCACAAGAAGTGATGACTGGTGGTAGGTGAAGCCGAAAGATGGAGTGGCAGCCAGATAAGGAAACATGGCCAAGGAGTCATCCATCTTGGAGATGAAATCAGCTTTTGCAGAAGCTATACAGACTGTTGCATTGTTAGATGGAGATTAAGGATTAGGCAGGGCCTCATTCAGCAGTAGATTATGGGTGATAACGATTGTACTGAAAATAAAATACATTCACTGAATGGATTGGTCAAATAGCACCACCAAATTAAATGTAAATATACTGCATTCTCTAATTGTAAAACAATACAGTGCACACCTTGTAAAATAACCCATGGAGTGGGCAGGTCCTCATCCAGTAGCAGAAAATTGACAAAAGACCGAAGGTGTACATTATGTCTAAATGCGACTGGAACCTAAGACGTTTCAGACCCCATCTTTGTGTCGCAGACCCGTCCCATATGGCGCTAGCGGCGATGATGAGACCGGCACCTGAGCAAAGTTGCGCATGGCCTCCATGTCCTCCTTGGCACCAAACACACAAACGGTCGTCCGGGTCACCTTGGTCTTGTCGCCATCATCCACCAAAGTTCCTCCCGGTGCTGCACATGGTGGAGATATCACACCACGCTACGTTATGACGTTAAAGGACGTCTATCAAGACTGCGGTGGCTCAAATCAGAGCCGAGCTATCAAAGCTGAGAGCGTGGATTTGAATTTTTGCTGTTCTACTACCTGTGCTAAACTGAGTTGTCATATTTAGCAAAGTGATGGTATTAGTCCAATCACCAATTAATAAGTGCACAAATAAAAGCATTCAGTTAAATTTGGTTAGCTGAGTACTTGCATTAAAAATAAAAATATCGGTTTTATTGTCGTACAATATGGCAGAGTGGGTTGGAAAGTCCTGCACTGTGTTAACATACCGGGCTAATTGATGGGTCAGGTGGCCTGGTATATGTTTTCTTAACAAAATCCCTTTATTTCCTAAAGACCAATTTAGACCATCAACAGTTGATATATTTTAGACAGCTACTTTATTTTGGAAAAATGTTAAAAAGGTAGATATATTACAATCTTGCAACCCAGTTTCTGAAATGCTCAATCCAATGCCTGAGTAGTTATTGTACAGTAGTAAACTGGGACTGGCTGACAACTGACGTTTTGCAGTGTGGAGACACAGCTGACCACAATTCATAATTTTTTATGCTGTTAGGTCATTGAGCTTTTGAAAAATACATTTTTAAACATTTTCTATTTCCCCCAATGTTTTGGGATCCCCAAAAGCCACCGTTATATGGGGGTCGCGGTGTGCCCATCCACTGAATTTGAGGACAAATTGTATTTAATGCACGAGATTTTCAGCGGCCTATGGCCGCCTTATTCTCACTCCTGCGGAGGGCTTTTCGGCGCTTCGTGCGTCGCCCCCACTGATGTCCTCTCATTCCCTCCCCCCAAATGTGTGCAGATACTACTGACTTCCACTTTATGTAGGGTGTGTAGACATATATGTCTATAAAATAAAATTATTTTGGGGGGGGGACAAATTTTTTGGGAAACTTGTTGGATCGAATTTTTACCCCCGCATTTGGGGGGTAGGGGGTCCACTTTCTCTAGCTTTTTGATTCAGGCCTTCTGAAAGGCTCTTATACTTTAGTTGACGGACAAATGGAATACCGGGCTTTTATGAAAGAGATAAACCACTAAAGCAATTGTTTTTTTATAGCCAAGTTCGAGAGAGGCCCTTAAATACAGACTTTTTCAAGATGTGTGTGTGGTGGTGGAATGTCTCACCCAGCATGCCACCGGCCACCATCACGTCAAACAGGGTGTCGGCATAGCGACGGTAGTCGAGCTTAGAGCCCTGCACGTCAAGGAAGCGGGACACGGCCTCCAGGTCACCAGCGGTCTCCTCCAGACCAACCACGATGGCATCACGGAATACAGATGGCTCAAACTTCTCCTTTTCATCTGCGGCCAAAATGCAACATCATGCAGGGGGGTTTCTTTTGTAGAGCAATGGCACACAAGCCACAGAACTGTGCTATGAATCCAGCAATTTAATTTCGATTCACAGTCAAGAATAACATCAGTGGCAAGTGATTTCCTGGGTGCTCTCCCTTCAACCCGCACGAAGCAACGTGGTGGAGTATGGTCAAACAACTCGGAACATTAATGGCAAGCGAAATCGAAACCAGTCTTGAGTCAATGTTTATAAATCTGCATTATCCATCGTGAAGTATACTATAACATAACGAAATAGGAGAAGCCTTTCTAATGTTGAAGGATGTCTAATAACTATTAATACAATTCATCAAGCCATTATAATCAATACAACGCTGGAAGAAGGTATGTCTAAGCTACTGTCATACAGTCCTGTAATATCACAATCCACGTGACACCGGCATAACAGTATTTTTTTTCTCCATCTCTGCAATTGACATCCTCTGTGGAGTGTTCCCTTATTTAGCTGAATTCTTCACCACCAGTCACCATCCCTTCTGTTCTAGCGATGTGTACTGCTCAAGCCCATCATTTTCTTACAATTGTATTCCAACTGTGCTATCGGCATCATGTCATGAAACTAAGTGTCCGCTCAGAAATCAAATGAGAATAGTGCATAACTCATTTTGGAGAAATGATCCTAAGAATCAGTTTTCACAGAACTTCTGGGATTGTTTTAAGTGATGTATTATTTATACAAAATAGGGGGTACACTTTCCCACAAACCCTGCAACAAAGACATTCGTCAGATCAGTTCCTTCTCAAAGCTAAAATGTAGCTAAATTTACGAATTTTTTTTTTGTGTGCAGTTATTGGCAACAAGGTTGAGACCACCAAATCACTACGCTTGACAAACTGGGTTATTCTTGGGTGGCTATCCAAATTTGAACCTAAAACTTAAACAGCAATGGCCAAGTGCTTTAATTTTAATCCAAGCAACTAGCTTGTGTAATACAATACTTTTCTTTTTTTATCGATTTGTATATTGGTGTGTATTGTGTGTGCGTGTGTGTATGTTTTGTATATGCGTGTGCATAAACGAGTCTGCTAAGTGTGATTATGTAGGTGTATGGATGTGTGTGGAGGGGATACTAGAATCTTCAAAAAAAGTTTAACTTTACCATTTAAAATTAACTTGCAAATGTGTTCTTACGATTGGATGCTGCATGTTCATTGCATAGCATTACAAGTGCATCATAGATTACTGTATTTTTATGAATACAGGTTCTAACACTTAAAAGTTGTTACACGTTGCCACTGGTGAGATGCGATGGATGTGGAGCTTTTCAAATAAAAATAAGCAAATGTGCATACCCCGCTTGCGGGTCTTAAACCGCTGGCCTGTAAGCGTCGGCTTCTGCTGCTTTGAATTATTCATAAAACTTTTCTGCAAGAGACAAACACAGCACTCATGAGACAACCTGTAGCACACAAAATATTTTACAAGAAATATCCACATCAAGGAAATGGTAGCTGGTCTTAAATTGTCCCCAGCTTCGTGATCCATGTATCTAGGCACAACACCCATAGAGGTGAGAGGGTATGCATTAGACAGTTATAAATCACTTGTTAAATAAAAATCTGGTGTGCTCAAACCAACTTTTCATGGGTATTCATATTCCCAGCCGCTCACGTGTACACAATTGCAGGACATAGTGAGGTCATAATAGCATTCAGCTGCGGTTCAACATGGAGAAAATGCATACCAAATGCAAAGCAGTACCTTGTCCCACACAAGAAAGTGTCATTTCATAATGTAACGAGCACGTTGCTTTAGCCTATGACCCAATCGTGAAAAAATTTGCCCGATGTCATGATATTTTATAGGATGCTGAGCTTACGATACGTTGTGTGCTGGTCAGTGCAGCAAATCGCAATGTTGTAATTTACATCCATGCACCGAGGGATAGTGTTGGCAGGGTGAAATATGGTTAAATAACCCCCACTACTATGGCTTGGGAATACCATCATACAGCGGCAGATTGACAAACAGGGTATACATGTGCATGTTACCACCAGCAGAGGCACGTTATTAAATGTTGTGTAACATTTGTCATGCAATTATTGAACACAGTCTGCAAAGCTGCATATACTAATCACTATATAGTAGCTTAACAATACAGCATTGTAATGTTGACTCCATACTGGGAATAGATATTCCGCTCAGCCAATTCCAAGAAATTTGAATCTGTTAATGCATATTGCATATTAACACGGATTTGGGAATCCATTCGTGTAATTACTCTATGTTTGCATATGCAGCCCTTTTTCTCAGTTCACTGCTGGTAGAGGGCCTGCACATGCAGTTAGTCATGAGGGGTCATTTTACCATCACGCTGGAAGTGGGTTGAAGGCAGTTAAACATCAGCATCGGTTTACTGAATCACAGAACACGGACTGCCCTTTGTTGTCAACAGCAGCCGGTAAGCACTATCCAACGAATTCTACTAGGTTCTGAAATAGCACGTAATCCAGTTGATTTGGTCAGTGGAATCATACGTGTATTCGGAAATAAAACTGCAAAATCATTGATTACCAATTATATAATTACAATACCCTCCCCGCCTCAAATCACTGCACCTGAATTAATTAAATGACGCCACCCTGCTGCTGCTCTATTTAAGATCGGGAGCAAGAGAGCCTCGCCATTCTGGCAAATTGCCCGATGAAGCTGGATGTAATTACCAGCGAAACGTCGTACTCAAATTTTAAATGTTGATTCACTCTTCAACACACCGGTGGGCTAAAGTAGTGAATTATTTGTCCTGTGTAAACGTGACACATGTTTTACTGTTTGGCCGTGTCGGGTGGTGGAGGGTTACGACACATTTATAAATAACGCGATCTAACCCAAAAACCGTTATGCAATATCATTGTTAATTGTAGTTGCTAATTTCCTGTTTACAATCGGATGGTGAAAATTCCACATTCCTACGGCGGTGCGATGAAGGGCCATTGTCAGAAATGTCGCCAATTGTTACTTTAGGGCAGTGTTATTGAAAAATTTGGGTTTGTGCTTATGGCACCACTACGAACGCAGTACTACCAAAATAATGTGTTCTTAGTGTATTCTTTTTAAGGATGTGTAATATACATTTATATAACAGAAACGTTTATGTATAATAAAGTTACTCCAGGAAGGCATCAATAGCCAACCACGTGAACGCGGCTTTCTACGCAAGGCGTGGCACCAGCGCAGCGCCACTACCAACCACCACCACCACCCCCCACGCGTTATACAAGAGGAGACCAATGTCACGCCATCTCACGCTTAAGCCGACACAAATATCACGCATTTGCGACATCCATCTGTGGAAAATGTCCGCCGAATGCCACTGCCAACTTTCCCGAATTCAACCTTAAAAAAAAAACACATTTAATCAGCACAATTTATACGACGCAGTTTCAATATATAATTGCAGCTGTAACCGTACGGTTGTGAATTGAGCTACCAATGTAATGGGAATCTCAGACAACGGTATTTGCCTGCTATAACTGCAATAATGATGGACCACAAGCTCTGTCAGATCGCCTCCCCCCTTCCCCATCCGAGTCCACGCCACCCCAACGTCACGCGTCGCACAGACGCAACGTCTCACGCGCCCACAAACCCTCCCAACAACCCCCGAGATCTCGACAAATAGTACGGAGGCAATAACCACCACTCGTGAGGCGAAGTCGGCGGTAAAATTTGAGCAAATCCGTAAACAATTACCGCGGCAAAAAAAACCCCCAAAAAAAACGCAAATTCGACACTTTCCAAACCACGACCCATCGCAGAAGCCTGCGCGACTAGGCCTCGCCTCGGCCGGGCCGCAAGTGGCGGCCGAACCCGCGATCATTCCCTTCGCCTCCCCGCCTCGATCGCCTTGCTCCTTCTCTCCGAGACCTATCGCCCTCCGCGCTCTGCCGAGACACCCGGCGCTGGGGAGCCCCGGGATTGACCGAGAAGGCGGCGGGGCGGGCGGGGGGAGCGTAGGCCGCGGACGCGAGACTCACGGTGCGGACCTCGACTCTCAGAGACACAAAGCCGCGCGGAGCATCATGGGAGGCTACGTCACCAGAAATAGGCGTTGGGGGGGGGGTGATGCCCATGTGGGGGGTCGGGGGGTGATGCCCATGTGGGGGGGGGGGGGGGTTCGGGGGGTTGATGCCCATGTGGGGGGGGGGGGGGTTCGGGGGGTGATGCCCATGTGGGGGGGGGGGGGGTTCGGGGGGTGATGCCCATGTGGGGGGGGGGGGGTTCGGGGGGTGATGCCCATGTGGGGGGGGGGGGGGGTTCGGGGGTTGATGCCCATGTGGGGGGGGGGGGTTCGGGGGGTGATGCCCATGTGGGGGGGGGGGGGGTCGGGGGTGATGCCCATGTGGGGGGGGGGGTTCGGGGAGTAATGCCCATGTGGGGGGGGGGGGGTTCGGGGAGTAATGCCCATGTGGGGGGGGGGGGGGGGGTTCGGGGGGTGATGTCAATGTTGGGGGGGGAGGGGGTGATGCCCAGTTGGGATGGATGTCCATTTCGATGGGGGTGCGGGGGGGGGTGATGGTGTCCATGTGGGAAGTGGGGGCGTTGGGGGGGGATCTTAGCTGTCATAATGATGCCCATGCATTTCAAAACATTTCTAATCTATTGAAACTGCATCGGCAGCGGTAAGCAATCGCAAATAATACAAATCAACACGTTCCCGACAACCACTGATGATCATTACGATGCTGGTTGTAACGGTGGTGTGGTAATAACGATGGTGATTATTATGGTGACGGTACCGTATTGATGATGGGAGTGGAGGTGATGGTGTGATGACGATGACAACCACATTACATGAATTACATTAAACAAACCAAAGAGGACTCGGAGGTGAGTCACAGGAAAACCGCAAGTACGGCTCGCTCAGGCAACACGGGACTAAAACCCTCATCTGGCATTGCCCCGCTCCCCTACCGAATCTGGAGGCAAAAAACCCTAATCCGGCACCGACCTCAGGTCTCGCACATTGACGCGAAAATATTATTTGGCGCTGCGCTGCCTGCAAAACCACTCCTGAATCTGGCACCGTTCAAAAATGTACGTTCGTGACACTTATCATGTTGTTATTATCTGTCTTTAATATAATTGATGACGTGTAAATGGGATTCCACTTGAATAATGACGTATTGTTTATTATATGCAGAATTCCATACACCACCCTCCCATGAACGCAAAGGCTCTCCTTCAAAAGTGTGTTTTTTCTGCATAAGTCAAATAATGTTTCGCTCGAATGATCATGCGAGGCTCAACAACCTATTTATTTACAGCCCTGAGCACGGGGTTGGAATTATACATTTCTATGAAAGGGGGTTCATCCATAGGACAATTGACGTTGACTTCACAAATTGTTACCCATTTTATTGACTCCGGAGGGATGATTCCTTATGAGTCAACCCCCAACCAGCTCATCCGTTTCTTCCAGGATGAATACATATTATGGTTCTCATTCTGATCATTTAGAACTCGCAACCTTCAGATTACGAATAGATCACTCTGCCAATGCTCCACCTGGCTGGTCAGAAGAACATGTCTCCACTGGGTAACGATAGATTTTCGAATAAGTAGCAATATGCATATTATACTCGCTTAGTGTCAGCAATTGCAAAGCCAGATTTTAATAAAAAAATGTTTTTATGTAATTGTTCAATGTCCTGTCGCTGTTGCGTTCCCAAGGCCCGCGGCAAGGGGGCACTGTGAACCCCCGTAAACGAAAAGCAGTGAGTAACTTAGAGCTCTCATTCTCCTTTCATGAGGGTCAACACAAGTTTGTTAGTTGTGCAACATTCCTTCTCTGCAATATTTACGTTGTCTTTGTTTTGTTGCTTGTAAAATAGGCAGGAAACCGGATATACGGGATCATCCGTGCAACAAATAAAATACACTTGATGTGTAACCCCAATTAAATAATTTCCAGGTACATTTTCAGCATTGGAATGTTTGGCCATTGTATGTGTTTTTTTTGCAATGATATAGAACTAATTACACAGAAAGGCACCCGAATCGGGAATCGAAGCCATGTGCTTCTTGTATGTTTGTTGAACTTCTTTCGCACCGTACGCAGCCAACCGTGCTATTCGGAGGTGCATCTGAGGTACGGCACAAGTCTTATCACTGTGCCACCTTGCCGCCTCATTCACCCTAACGAGTTCATCTCCAACGCATGAATTGATCTCGTCAGTCCATCTCCTCGCTAGTTGTTCTCTCAGACGCGTTTCCTTTCTTAACCCATAATCCGAACCGTTATGCTTTCAGAATAATCCCAATGATTTACCCAAGAAACTCTCATTGAGCCTCAAGACACACTTTTAGGAGGGTCCTGAATTGGATAATTATATTCACGTATTGGGTAATATAAAATAATTATGGCAATTATTCAGGCTAGTCTGAGTCTCAAGATGGTCATGCAATGGCATGTTTGGCCAATGCGTGTGGGAGGAAACTGGAGTATCTGGAGAACACCCACCACACAACACGAGGGAATGAAACTCAACACTGCCATCTCCTGGCCACACCTCGCAGCTCCAAAGGTACAAAGCATGGCAAGTCATGGTCGTCTTCCATCCCAGTACCGAACCACATTCAACTCTGCACATGTGTAGCGGGTTCAAATCAGACGGAGACGACGTAGTCGGAGGCACACTTATTTGTTTAATACAATACTGGAAGGGGTAGCGGCCCTTCACCCGTGCTACAGGCATCTCCCACTAGCCATATCCCCAGCTACCCTCGGCCCAGTTCCTCCACTGGGTCCGAGGGGAGGCTAACCGATCTGGTCCTGGTTAAGCACAGATCCCGGCACCTCTAACCATCAGACCGGCTCTTACAAGAGCGTCGGCTCTGAGGCTCTTAGGGCCGCGCCGCTGGCTTTCCCTGCTCGGCCCTGACAAGGACGGCGAGCCAGGGGAGTTCCAGGGCCTATCTGCTGGTCTTCTTTCTTCACTGGTTAAAGCTTACACACTAAGACCTCGAGCCCTCCAACTCCCCCGCCTTTTATAGCAATCCCCCCCGAGGGGTGGGGCTGTGGGGGATCCCAGCGTAAACCGTTTGCGGACGTGGGTGTAGACACCCGTGTAGCGTGTGGGAGCTGACACCCGTGTGTGTTTGTCAGCACCCCCTTAACACCCCTTAACACCCCTACACATGGATCCGCACGGCATTGGAAAGCGTTAACTATATGTTGCATACAACAAGGGCTTCATTTCTTACTCGATAATTTCCAGAACACTGCTAGGGCTGGCTTGGAAGCATGGATTAATTATCGGCATGAGGCACTGCCACTAAATTGCAAGATATACGGATGCGTAATACCTCGTATGGCAATACTACTATTATGACAACATAAGTGGAGAAGGATGTGGCGAGGTGCCAAAATAAATCCCAGAACAGAGTTCCGAACTGTTCCGGCTGAATTCAAGCACTGTATATATAACCATAACACAAGCAAAACATAGCACTGTAACAAATGCCGCTATTCCTCTGGCAATGCCCGCTATTTGGAGTCGGTCTGTTCGACCATTTGATTAAACATCGTTGATGTCAGCGCAGGTCGCAGGGCGAGTGACCTCACTCACTTCATTAAGCTAAGAGGCTGTGGCGAACACAGCGCAGGGTTATTGCGCATTGCCAGCGGAGGGTGCAGGGGGGAGGGTGATTATTCTCCCTGGCTAGCGCCGGGGTGATTGCTTCCATGTGCCACGTGCACCCTTTCCCTCTCCATCCTCAAGGCATTCATCCTAACCACCCACCCCCACTCAAGCAACCCCATCCATCCCCCTCCCCGCACCTACCCCATTGATTCCCTCCCCTAAACAAAATCCCCCCTACCGACCCAATTCTCCCCCCACACCCTCATACATCTCACCCCCTGTCAAGATCCAGCGCATTCCTACACACCCCTCCTCTTCCATCACAACACGCGCTTTATATACAGTGTGTACGAATAACTGGGTGAGGGCTTTGCCAGCCTTCTCTCGGCTTTAGCGTCACACTCTGCGGACGACGACTTGCTTTGTTAATCGGTGATGGGACCTGCATGCGTGGATGTGTTTAGCACGAGACATGAAGCAGTGGAGAGCGTTACGCTGAGCCTGCCCTGTGAGTGAAACCAATCAACCTCGGGACCGTTATATTTTTGAGGCCCAAATTAGAAAAATGTTGGTTTGAAAATGTTATTTTACAGACACAGTATATGCATAGGTTCGATTACGTACATTTAAATGTACAACATTTAAGCGTTTTACCCGTTCTAGAAGATAATTATCATTTTGTACGTTTCCATTTAGTCCCGATTGCCAATATTTATCATATCCAAAGTATGCAAAGAAGCACAGAGAGATGAATGTTAGGAATCGCACTGAGAAACAGAATGAATACATGTATCAATTCATGAATGCGAATCAGATACTGTACATCATATTAACTCAAGGAAAGCAAGTGACCTTGGATAGAACATCGCTGGATGGGATGGTAATGGGGGAACGAGACTGGCTACGGAATGACAGTCAAAGGAGGGGAAACGCCCGAGAACACAACCTCTGAGACCAGTTCACGTTCAGAAGAAATGGATTGGGTCATTGCAGGACTGTGAGGGATAGTGATGTTGTGAAGAGTCATTTATCCAGCAGTGGATTGAACATGCCCGAGGATGAAGACACTCCGCAAAATGTGTGTACGAGGCATGCAGTGATTAATCGATTCATCACTTCACGATGGATACATCGAAATGTGCGTCTATAAGATATCAGATATTGTATGTATGTTGAACTTCTTTTGCACCATATGTAGCCAACTGTGCTAATCGGAGATTCCGACATTAACAATTGACGAAAATATAATGCGAACTTTCCAATATTCTGATGTAACGGAGTAAGACGCAATAGACGAGACAGGCGATACAAACGAGACGAAATCAATAATAATATACCTAGTGCAGTAAATAATAATTTTTTTACCTAGGAAAGCCTCACTGAGTTTTAATATTATTTTAGGAGGGTCCTGCTACATGGGGATTGTTAGCCGGTTGAGTTAATGCGCTTTTGGTTTCGTGTGGAAGGAAACCGGAGTACATACAGTGCTCGGGAAAAAACCCCCATCACGCATACGAGAGGGAAAAGCTCACAGCTTTGCACAGATAGATTTAATACAAAGCACTAATAAATTAAATGTATACATCGGAGCGCGTGGAATGAGCGGGTCGCTGTGCTGCCATCACCTGGCCACACCTCGCAGTCGCACGCCGACAACACCCTGGCACTCCCTGGTGATCACCAATCCAAGCACCAACCAACCTCACCCCTGCTTAGATCATTCCAAGATCAGGCGAGTCCGGACGCTTGCAGTGTGATTTGGTCCAGTCCACTCTTGACTCGAACCGCGTCTTCAAATCGTGCCAATCCATCGACTCTCCAGGGATGAGAGGTATGCGGATGGAGGGGGCACATTCTCCCTACCCGCCCACCTCCCTCCCAACCCCCATCTAAAGACAAAACCAAAGATCCTCAATATAGAAATACATTCTTTTGGGGAAAGTGCTGATTGCGACGAATTATGAAGACCGTTGCGGCGCACGAGGGGGTGACGTGGCCAGCACAGTGCCTAAGCCACTTTTGTCTTCCCAGAACTGGTGCTTACACACCGCACCGGATACTCATTTAAGGCAGAGTCGACCTCGGGGAGACAAGGAACCGGTTCCGTTATTAGCCACTGATGTTATCCGTGAGTGGAAATCAAGCTCGACCCGCCGCCGGGTTCACTAACCACTAAACTACTACTGCCCATAAAACCCCCATGAAACCCACGCCACACAAACAGAAACTAAAAAGGCCCCCCTCATAGCCTTTCACAAGACTGTTGGTGCAGCAGCTGTTAGCGACCGTCTTTATCTCCCCAGTGCTGTTTACACGAGGCCGAGCCGACCTAGGGGGTGCCCAGAACTTTGCAAATATTAGCTGACACTGTTACTGGTCGTGAGCGCGGTGCGCTAACCACAGCAGTACCGCTCCCCATTCAAAACAAAAACACACACAACCCTGAAAACCCCACCACCCCGCACAGATTCACACCCGCCGTGACGTCACACTGCAGACCCCCCCCATACCCCCTCCCTTTTCGCAGCGAGATCGGCGCTCAGATCGAGAGAGCGAGCTAGCGGGTTTTTTTTTTTGCGCGAAGCCGAGAAGAAATGAAGGGATAACTTTGCGGGTGCTGCGACCGAGCCGTGGAGATAGAAGGAGAGAGAAGCGACCGCGCGCAGCGGCGGAGGAGAGATTCGCGAGCCGACCGGTGAGTGAGTCGACGGGTCGATCAGTCAGCCCAATGTGCTCGACGCGCCGCTGAGGTTGTGTGTGTGCGAGTCGAAAGGTTGTCGGACGAATTTGCGTGTCTTGCGCATTATTCAGGCTGGCGTGAGCGCGATGCCTGTGAGCGTGGTGTCGATACATCATAGCACTTGACCCAATAGCCTGAAAGGCGACGCGGATGGCCATTGAATTTGATACGCACGTATTAGCCAGCGCTTTTTAGGCGAGGGTTGCTGGATCACGTAGAGATTTGTGAGACTTCCAAGCCCTCCGCATTGCAGTACAGCAAGTGTGTTCACGAACCCACTTTCTGGTGGGTATTCTCCGGGTACTCCAGTTTCTTCTTACACGCTGAACTCTCGTTAAAAGGGTATTAGATTAAACACACCAATGCGACTTTCATTAATACATATATAATTGGCGCGATCATCGTTATCATCGACTATCTGCTCGGGTGATAGGCGAAGCGGTGACGCAGTGATTCACGTACCTGGCGACTCGAGTCTGGCTCGCATCAGATGCCAGTGAAATATGAGACCGTCGTGGGTTCCATCTTCACCAACGCGGTGAAGTATGGTCAGACAACCTTTGTGACCGACACGGTGTGGAGAGGTTTTAAGCCAGCAGTGGATTGTTCAAGGCTTTTTTTATGATAAAGGCTTTGGAGTACAGCATGGCAGGAAGCAAAGTTCCCTCCACTGTCACGGAGTTAGTCAGAGGCTTGACATCTTCATCCGTTAGGTAATTTCCGAGCGGCAACTGTCAGCTGTCAAATATATAAACAGTTGTTGAAGACTCATAATTCACTCAATTTAGAGCCCCTTGTCAATCCACTGGTGGATGAAGGCCGACCTTATCCGTGCCGGTCTTAGGGGTTGTTTGACCATACTTCACCGCGCTGGTCAATGGGAGATGGCTCAGGTTTGATTGGGTAGTGGAGCACCAGGACCGATTCAATATATCACGCTCCACTGTTATTAGCCAGGGCCAGAAACCGCACGAATCCAGGCCAACTGTCTATATAACGCAATGTGTGAGCAATACCCCACCGCTCACCGCTATGCCATAACCGAAATCCAGATGTCTAAGCTCAAACTCGTCTCTTCCTAAACGTGCAAAGAAAAGATACGAATTTATTTAATACGCTGGGAAGCGACGATGATGATAACGACAATGAGCAGGTTGTGAGGACTAGTGGTGTAACTTTGTTTATCATTAGCCATGAGCACCACGGTAATTATCCTTCTCAGCAAATAATTAAGTAATGGTTGGGGAGAGCGGTGGAGCAATTGCTCTCGCACTGCGCGATGAACGCAGCTTCGACGTGAGTCCCGGCTACGACTTGACGTCAATGGCAAGTGATATTCAAACCGCTTGCTTTACTATCCGGCACTGACCAGCCTGGTGAAGTATGGTGAAAAAAACATTATCGACACAGTTTACGGAGTCCTTCATCCAGCAGTATAAAGACAATTGCCTGAACATTATTACAACGTTGTTAAACTATATTACAACGGAAGTGGAATTATTGTGATTTTGGCGTATTGAAGGGCGCGTTAATATCTCCAACAGCTGGGAGTTGTACTGTGTAACGGGATTTGTTTTTATGATGGTCGTTCTTGACGGCTGTTATATTCCATTATGTCAACTACAGGCAGGGTCGGATCTGTGCATGAGCCAGTTTATGATCAGGGATTATAAATGATTGATCAGATCATTGTGAAGCAGACAGCAATGAACCCGATGTAAATAGCAAACAAAAAACAGCCAAACAACTGACAAAGCCATACCTTTCAATGAAGAGGAGAGGCAAATATTCGGTGGGCATAGCACACCGGTCATATTCTAGCTCTACCCTCATCCTTAACCAACTTGCCAAATAACGACTAGTTCTGGTCCTCCCATTGGCCATATCTCAGTAGCTAACCGTAGATGAGTACTCGCCCTCCCATTGACCATAAATCTAGCTAACTAGCCACTAGTACTGACTCAGACACTAACAACGTAACCCGAGTTATGTTGCTTCGCCAAGCCTCCACTCTCTGTGTGCTTTTCAGTTTTGGTGCTCGACGCACCAAATGACCTCACCGTATGTGACTTGGCACAAGTGTCCCCGGATCCTTTCGAAACCGTCACCACCCAGATCGACTAACAATAAGGCACAGGAACCCAACACAAGAAATAAACGTGTTTGCTGCCACACGCCAATCTCGATGGATGCACTTAGCCTGCTAAAGTTGCCAGCAGTGGAATGGTGGCGCATTAGTTTGCGTACTGAGCTACGAGTCTGGCCGCCTGAGTTTGATTTCAGGCCATAGCGAACGTCAGTGGCGAGTTATATCGGAACCGTCCCTGCCCCCCTTGTATCACCAATGAGAATGAACCAGCGTGGCGCAGTGTGGTCAAACAACCCAGATGAGCAACGTCGCACCTCCGATGAGCATAGTTAGCTACGTACGGTGCGAATGAAGTTCAACATAAATACAAACATGGAGCAATTGCCTTTATCCAGCAGTGGATTGACACAAATATGTAAATTATTAATGCTGCAGTTGTTTGCCTGGAAGGTATAGAATCACTTTCAGAATTGTATGAACGACATGGTATATGAGGAATGTGTAAAATCAGCAAAGTGAGAAAAGATATCACCCTCTACAAGATGTGGTATTTAAAATTGGCAAGTTATACAAAACGGCGAGCTAAGTATATATTGTAATTGTCACTGCTAAAGAAAGCACAACTGTGAAAAACCTTGACCAGACTTTTTTTCATCGCAACAGGATCGAGTTGCAACATTAATAGGTCTCCAGTTATGATCAGTGACATAGGAATAGCGTCTCTTTGCACTTAGAACAACTGTGGAAATTTCCCAGATTTGGCCACAAGGTTGGTGCTGTGTTTAGAGCCACGGTAGTGGATCGTGTCACTGCAGTCTAACGTGGCTGCAATCACTTCCTTGACTGTAGATATTAAACTGGGGCACACACATGTCAAGCAGCTGTGATTGTGAAACTCAATATAGCCGTAGTCTTTGTACAGGGCCGTGAGCAGGAGATGGATAAGTACTTACGCAACCAAGAATGAATTCAAAACAGACGAACGATGAAGATAATTATGAGTTCCTACACGTTCACACGGGCATACACGTGCGTCGCACATGCAGATAAAAGGCAGCACATCTACGCGAGTCGGCATGGCCACTTTGTATGACAGGTGCAGACACACACCTGGCCTCTCCCCCCACCCCCCTTATACCCCTTACAAACAACACCACGCTCACCATCCTCCATACCCCCCCCCCTTCCACGCTTTGTCCTTTCAACCACAGCATGAGCTCTGATCACACGACCTTACATAAGCCTCGCAGCCACCAAACACAGCATCTCTTGGGGTTACCGATCTGCTGTTATCTCCGTGTTTTCTTCTCCGTGTGTGTTTTCCACGAGGCATTAGAAACAAAGGATTATTTATGAAACATGAATTACCATCTGTTGCCCCAGTGAAACATGAAACACTGACAGACACCCTCAACAATCAGCTTATGTATTAGATTTACTTTGGATTGTATTTTCTTCCTTTACCATGCTAAAATGGAGATTTGCGTCATCATCATCTTCACCATCATTATCATTATCATCACCAGTTAGGAGCAGGATGAGCCGGTGACATTTGGAAGTGTCAGATGTTGTACACATCTACATGGATGAAAACTTTAAAAAAGAACAAAGTGAAAATGAGGCTGAGCGAACTGTTCTAGAAACAGTGTGAGTGCTCGTACGAGTGGATGGTTGGTTCGCGTTAGGGTCAGTGGGAGCGCTCGTACAAATGGATGGTTGGTTAGCGTTAGGGTCAGTGGGAGGGCTCGTACGAGTGGCTGGTTGATTAGGGTGATGTTTAGGTTTGGATGAAGGTTAGTGGCGAGTGTGCTTCATATGTATGTACTCTATGTTGAACTTATTTCAAAAGGTACATAGCCAAACACTGTTTGCCCCTCATCCCCATTGCAACGTGTGGCTTTTTCAGTTTTTGACCTCTCTTACTTTCTGATATTCAGAATGTATTCATAGATTTAATTCAAGTGATAGGTCTGTGGCTCGGATCATTGTTAGGATTAGTGTTATAATTGGGTTCGGGTAAAACAAGCGCTAAAGATTATCTTCATATTAGGGTCGTGTTTGGGATTAGTGGTTTATTGATGTTGCGGTTATGGCTCGGGCTGTCATAAAGAGCCTTGTAGAGATGCCAGAAATTGCGTGAGTGTCAGGCATGACTGTAGACGAGAAATGAAAGCCTCACTTTATTTTAGATCAAAAAAACTCACCGATTTCATCGTTTACCCTGCTTTCTAACAGGATAGTAAGCTGCCACGGTGTAATGGTATCATAGCTCACCGGTTAGATTCAATCTCCCAGCGTGGCAGTTGAAACGGTCGGCAAGTTTATTAACCCCCCGTCCCTGTCCATCTAGCAGTATGCATGGATACACTACCTTTAGGCGCGTGGAAGGGTGAAGTGTGGGAAGTGCCACCTCCTCCAACAGAAACCTAGACACGTAAGATAAAATACCCATGAGAGGGGCTCTCTAGAGCACCCTCCAGTGGTGGCCCTTCCACCAGCAGTGGTGTGAGCAAGTAATTGCAGGGCTGCACCTTCTAACAGAAGAATATAGAGGGACTGTATCAAGGTGACATCCATTATGCTTCATTTCTTTTACAGCAGTTTGTGCTAAATCAACACCACGCCCGACCGTCTTTGTCTCCCCAGTGCCGATGTTTTTACACACCGCACCAGGTACTCATTTAAGGCTGAGTCGACCTAGCGAAGGCCCAGGACCGGTTCAGATAATCGTCACTGGTGTTAGCCGTGAGCGGGAATCGAACTCTGGTAGCTGGGTTCCTAGCCAGTGTGCTAATCGCTACACTACCGCTCCCCACAAAACTAGTATGGAGATTTTATCTAAATCTTCACATCTCCGCCATGGCAC